CTTTCCCTAAATATCAACTATCCTCCTGGACATTTTATAGTCCTTCCCTAATCAATGAGTTTTCAAACCCACCCTAGAAAAAATTTCACATGGAAATATGCTATATTTGTTATTTCAGAATCTAATCATAATAAATTTTACAACTCAAGTAGTTCATTGCACTTCCTTGAGTGTTGTCAGTGGCACTGAAATCCCCAAATAAGTTAATTATAAATTATTACTTCTAGAAATTAGAGATCAGAGGAACTATAAATTACATATTGCCCCAAACACACTTAATTCCCTATCTACCTACTTTCATCATGAACTCTCTCAATGTTGAAGGCTCTACTATGCTGATTCAAACTTAGCTGCTGTTCGTGAAGGTCCACAGGAACAGGGTTGATGCCAGTCCCTTCAAGGTATAACCTGATTCGCTGCCTCCACAACCATCTTAGAAGAGTGAAGGAAAAGCAAATTATATTAAAATAGAATAAATTAAACAAAGGATTAGACATTATAATTTCTCAAAATTAAAACATTCATAATAAAAAACTAGTTATTCCATGAACTTATTATACTAGAAACACCTAAAACCCACAGGTTCCTGATCAAAGACAGATTTAGATGTTTATTTCTCTTTTCTATTATAATGGAAATATCTAATGTAGTTGTATAAAACCTCCCAAATAACCTGAATTCAAGTCAAACTCTTTATCAAGTATTCATTAAATCCTATATACTTAGCTAATAGTTGTGTTTTGCTCATCGTATAACACATATATAAAAAAGAAAGCATTCGGAAATTAAAACACTATTATGTTAAGGTGGTCAGATTAGATAAAAATCCCTTCCCTAAAATTCTGTAATATTGTTTTTCTGTTTTTTACAATAAGAGATCAATAACAAATATTATAACACAAGATTAAACCTAAAACTTAAATGACTTTTTGGTAAAAGTGAAGAAAACAAGAATCAGGTTTAATGTCAAAATCAATAACTAACATATGAAAAAGACAATGGGACAGATTCTACTAGGTAAGTATACAAAAATATACTCCTACTTGGAGTATAATAGTCATTTGTGAAGGTGCTAAATTTCTGAAATGACTAGAAACTGGAATCGTCACTAAAAAAAATGATTCCAGGGATTTCCCTGGTGGTGCAGTGGTTAAGAATCCGCCTGCCAATGCAGGGGACATGGGTTCGAGCCCTGGCCCAGGAATATTCCTCATGCCGCGGAGCAACTAAGCCTGTGCACTGCAACTACTGAGCCTGCACTCTAGAGCCCGCGTGTCGCAACTACTGAGCCCGTGTGCCACAACTACTGAAGCCCACACGCCTAGAGCCGGTGCTCAACAAGAGAAGCCACCACAATGAGAAGCCCGCGCACCACAATGAAGAGTAGCCCCTGCTCGCTGCAGCTAGAGAAAGCCCGCACGCAGCAATGAAGACCCAACACAGCCAAAGATAAATAAAATAAATAAATTTTAAAAAATGATTCCAGAAGTCAAGAAGATTTAATACAATTTCACAAATACCTAGAGAAAAAAAGTTTTCTCAAACTATAAAATCTAGGCTAAGTCAGGGAAAGAAAAGTAGTCCAATTGGCTTGGCTCTAATTAATCGGCCAACCTCAACTCAGCTCATCCTTCCACCCTTCTCTTTTCAGGGCAGTCTGACCACTGAGCAAATTAAGTGAAAGAAATATGAAAAAACATCTCCACTGCTTAAGAAATACTTAACATGTAAGGCAGAGATACCAGGAATCTCAGCATGGTTAGAGTAAATCTAACCCTCAGTCATTCTGGATGGGAGAAGATGAGGATAAAAAATATAAAATCTCAGAGAATTTGAACATTTAATTTTTCACCAACAGTTTTAATCATCTTTCTACCAAACTGCTAAAAACGTGTAATGAGGGTAAAGTAGAGACATGGCCTCTGTCTCACTGAAGGAGAAAAACCTCTACTTGCAATTATATTACAGGCCAAGTGGCACTTGGCAGAGTTTCTCCATACAGCTCCAGTCAGGCTGGAAGAAGGGAAGTTAGATGTGGTTGTGACTCAGCTAATGTATTATTTTTTATGGCTACTGTTACACCTATGGACTAATCCAAATATTATCTAATTTGTTCTGTTTAACAGCATTTTTAATGGCACACATTAATAATATAATAATAATATTTTAATAAGATAATGATAGAGCACTAGTAAGAAATTCCTACCTGAACTCACCACGGCAGAACTTCTGTAAGGCTTCTGGGAAGGAATGCATGTATCGAACAGGAAGACATAAATGACCCTCAGACCTTTATTTTAAAAGGAATTTGCGTGGTGTAAAGGGAAGAAGAAAAAAAAGTACTTAATTCAAAAGGTATCACTAAACTACAAAAATCAGATATGAAATTTTTTGAATTTCTACTTCTATAATTCATTTTGCCACAAACTGTCTATACTTTCGACAAGAACCAAAAAAAAGACCAAATAGAAATAGTACTTTAAATACAGGTTTAATGCCATAATACAACTTAAGTTTCCACATTACAGTAAAATTAAAAATAAAAGCAAATTTGCCACTGATTGATTTCCCTGTAAAATTATCTAATGGTATAGTGGTGTTTGCATCTTACCTTTAAATTATTTAACTATAACTTTGGGCAAGTCACTTTAGCATCAGCCTCCTCATCTCTAAAAGGGCCATAAAACCACCAATCTGAAAGGTTATTATGAGGAATCAAACTATTTATGTGAAAGTTTTTTGACCCATAAATCCCTTTTAAATGTCATTTAAGATGTTCTTTTAACCAAAAGAGAACTCCCAGCTTAATCTAATGTAGCCCTTCATTTATTCAAAAAATATATAAAGGGGCTTTTCCTGGTGGTGCAGTGGTTGAGAGTCTGCCTGCCAATGCAGGGGACACGGGTTCGTGCCCAAGTCCGGGAAGATCCCACATGCCGCAGAGCGGCTGCGCTGGTGAGCCATGGCCTTTGAGCCTGCGTGTCCAGAGCCTGTGCTCCGCAATGGGAGAGGCCACAACAGTAAGAGGCTCACGTACCGCAAAAAATAAAAATAATAATAATAATAAGTAAGTACATAAATAAATGTGTATATATATATATATATATATATATATATATATATATATATATATATGGATGAGCTCCTTCAAGGAGTTAACAGATTTATGTGGAAGACAATTTTTTTTTTAAATTGCAAATTACAAAGTGTTAAGATTGCCTATAGGTTGATACAGGAAGACAAGAGGATATGGCACCTAACGTGAGGAAAGGTGTCTAGAAAGTTCAATCATCATCATTTATATGATGCTGCAATCTTGAAGGAAAGGTTGAGAGTAGGCCTGGCAAAACAAACCCTTAATAATAACTGTAAATTAAACGCGAAGAGCAGAGAAAAAGGCTTTTACAAAGTTATGACTAATCAATTCATCTGAGAGGGTCAACACTGTGGTTAAGAAACTTAGGCAGGGGACTAAATTTTTAAAATTTTTATATTTACTGCAATACTTCTCTACAGTGCTAAGATTATAAAAGATAATCAACATTTGATAGAATACTTATGGAGGTCAACTGCAGGTCTAAAACACTCTAGAGAGAAAGAAGAATCTAGACCTGACCTGGAGGATTCACTTTCACTGTGGCTCACTCACTGGTGCTGGCTGTTGGCAAGAGGCCTCAAGTCTCTCTCCATGTGAGCCTCCCCACAGGGCAGCTCTGGTATCCTCACATCACCGTGGCCGACTTACTCCAGAATGAGCAATCCAAGAGACCAATACAGAAGCTGCAATACCATTTATGACCTAGCCTTGGAATTCACACACTGTTTTTCCATATTCTATTGGTCCCACAGGCCGGCCCTGATTGAATACAGAAGTGGGAAGGGAACCACATAAAGGTGTAAATACTAGGAGGCTATCTTGGAGGTTGGCTATCACATGCCCTCTATCCCATTTTGATCATTAAGCATTTAAATGTCATAATTATTTACAGGGGTCAGTAGAGTGAGTACAGAATACAGAAGAGAAAACCGAAATTGTATATTTAATTTAGATGAGTCCACAAGTGAGCCATCTTAGAAGTAGATCCTCCAGCCCAAGTCAAACCTTCGGATGCCTGCAGCCCCAGCTGACATCTGACTATAACCTCATGAGAGATCCCAAGTTAAAACCACCCGGCCAAGCTCTTCCTGGATTCCTGACACACAGAAACCATGAGAGATAATAAATGATTATTATTGTTTTAAGCCTCTAAGTTTTGGGATGATCTGTTATGCTGCATTTGACAACTACTACAGAAAAGAAGAAACTTAAGTTGAACATTAACTTCTGGGCTTATTTAAGGATTGTGAGACACCTCTGTGCTTAAGAAAAAGAATTCAGGCAACCTGAATTATGGAACAAGCCAGGGGCTTAATACATTTCTGCCTGGAGGCAAAAAGAAAAACCAGAGGACTTCTAGAACACATCATTTTAGGCAGAAATTAGAGAAGCAACACCTGTTGCTTACCAGTTTAAAAATCCCCACAGGCTAATGAGTATTAAGCCAGCTTTTAAAGGAAAATATATTTCAACAAACTGTATAAAATATGATCACTAAAGAATCTCCTACTTTAATGAAATGTAAAACTATGTCATTGCAAAGTTCTAAAATACACGTGCACGAATACTAAAGGCAATTAAAATGCTAGCAATAGAGAAATTAAGTCCTATACTCAAGGAATTTATAGTCTAATGGAAGAGACAATCAAGCAGAAAATAATAGGAAGAGATAAGTGCTCTCTGTACAAGGAATCATAGTCAGAGCCCAGGAGAGGTACCAGTCTTGAGTGGAAAAGAACTACACAATTGAGTAAGTGTCCTAAGGGCACTCTAGGCAAAAGCACAAACAAAGGCATGAAAAGCACATGGACATCTGGAGAACTCTTTCACTTACTCTTTCAAACTCTTTCTTGATACCAACAAAGCTCCTCACCAGAGCAAAAACTCCCATATGTGAGCCTTCAATCATGACATTAGGATGCTCATACACTACACTGCACTTAAGAACAACCTTCAGAGGTTAGGGGAGAGGGGACTGAATGAATGTGGTCAAAAGGTATAAAGTTCCATCTATAAGATGAGTACTGGGGATGCAATGTACCACATTATGGCTATCGTTAACACTGGTGTACAGTATATTTGAAAGTTATTAAAAGAGTAGATCCTAAGAGTTCTTATCATAAGGAAAAAAAACTTTCTCCTCCTTTTTTTCTTTTTCAGCTATATGAGTTGACAGATGTTAACTAAACTTATTGTGGTAATCATTTCGCAACATGTGTAAGTCAAGTCATTATGCTGTACACCTTAAACTTATACAGTGCTGTATGTCAATTATATCTCAATAAAACTGAGAAAAAAATACAATTAAAAAAAACCCCAGGGCTTCCCTGGTGCCACAGTGGTTTAGAGTCTGCCTGCCGATGCAGGGGACACGGGTTCATGCCCCGGTCCGGGAAGATACCACATGCCGCGGAGAGGCTGGGCCTGTGAGCCATGTCCGCTGAGCCTGCACGTCTGGAGCCTGTGCTCTGCAACGGGAGAGGCCACGGCAGTGACAGGCCCGCATAGCACAAAAAAAACAAACAAACAACAGAAAACAAAAAAACCCCAAAGAACAGACTTTAGGAAGGATCCTAGAATGTTCCTAGAGAGGCATCAGTCTTTTTTTTAAGCTGAAGAATGTATAGTGCCTACAGGTAAATGAGGGTAGATGAAACTAGAAAAGCAGATAGGCAACAAACAGATGGTGAAAGATCATATATATTATGCTACACAATTTGCAATATAACCTGAAGGTCATAAGGAAACCCTGAAAGACTTTAATTAAGGAGTGGATACAATCAAATTTGTACTTTAGAAAGACCATTAAGGCAAAGTATAAAGAATGGGTTGGAAAGAGCAAGACTGGAAGTTACTACAGTAATTTAAACCACAAACTATAAAGCTATGTTTAAATACAGTGAGGAGGGCAAGGGATGGACTCAAAGGTAAGATCCCTAAAACTTAGAACTAAATCCCTAGACCAGTACAACGAAGGGAGTGAGGGAAGGCGGTGAGGGATGGGTCATCACAGCTTCAGCACCCATTATGATTCCATTTAGCAAGTATGGGTGGGGGGAAGGAGATAAGTTCATCTGTAGACATGTTACATTTTTAATGCCACTGGTTACATGCAAGTGGAGGCCAGTATGGCTAGAATAGCATGAAGAAAGGGAAAATAATAGGACATAAGGACACAGAATAGTCAGGGGCCAGATAATGTAGAGTCTTGAATGTCACAGTGAAGGGGACCAACTGTCCCAGTTTGCCTGAGACTGACAATTTTCCCAGGACATAGGACTTCCGGTGCTAAACTGAGAAAGTCCCAAGCAAACCAGGATGAGGATGAGTTAGTCACCCCAGTAATAGTAAAAATTAGATTTTACTCTGAGTTAGATGGGGAACGACAGTTAAGACTTTGAGCAGAGGTCACAGAATATATCAAATTTTTATAAAACAATCACTGTGGCTGCAGTGGGGAGAAGAGACTATAAGGTAAGAGTAGAAGCAAGATCAGTGTTGGATATACAGATTCTAGAGTCACCAGCATCTAAGTTAAAACAACAGACGTTAATCAGTTATTTTGGAGACAGTACAGAGAGAAGTAGAAAAGACTCATCCATGATTGAGCAGAAGGATAATGGTACAAAATATTTAAGAAATTTGTCAGGCAAGTGAATGAAGTAAGGGAGAATTAAGAAAAAAAATAGAGGGGATCAACACACTGAAAGTCAAAGGGCATATTTACTAGAATTGAGGAAGTAGGACTGCTATTAAGGTAGGCGGCTATGGTCAGAGTGATTTGAGAGGGGGGGATATTCTAGGTGACAAGTATGATCATGGCTGTGGGTGGCTGGAACAGAATGAGGATAAATGTCAGTGAAGCTAAGGAAAGGAAAAAAAAGTGATAATAGGGTTTGGTCTATTTATTAAGTCACTGAAGTGACCCAGGAAATCAGTGGAGGCATATTCAGGAATGTAGATGAGAGCCAGAAGGAAGGATAGAAGATGGAACATCATTAACTCATCCATCTTCAGCAACACCAAAGTCACCAGTACTCACCTGGGTCAAGGGCTCAAGTCTATCCTCCCACAGATATTACTCCCAAACTACCTGGGAAGTCAAATGTGAGAACTTGTCCATGCCATATCATAATTTTCCACCACCAACGCCAGTGAAATGCGTATATATTTCTCATGCCTAAGCTAAAAAAGAGAGCTATGTCCTTGAAAATAACGACAAAGAAGAGAAATCTACTAAAGGTAGAGATCAATTCTACATGCCTAAATTTCATCACTGAAATGATTTTGGAACATGGTTCTAACATTCACGATAGCCAGCAACGGTGATGTTTCTACTTACACAGCATGCACCATAGTAAACACCCTCTACCAATAGGATAAGGAGCTTCCAAATTTAAGATTTATCATAAACAGGTACTATGCAAAGCAAAGCACAGAAAAGTTTTTCCTTACCGTTCTGGGTCAGTGTTTACTCCAATAACTGGTTTAAGTCTGTCCAAGACTTTACTTGCTGCCAAAAGCATTGTGCCATCACCTAAAGGACATAAGAGATAACCAGACTTGTTACAAAACTAGTTTTTAACAACATTTTGAACACTAGTTCTTTTAATAATCCCACCCGCACCCCATCCTGTTGGCTGCCACAGTCTACTCCTTTCTACCCACTATCCCTCTGTATTATCTCTCCCACTCTAATCCAGAATTTCTCAACAGTGGCAAGATGAACACTTCAGGCCAAATAATTCTTTGTTGTGAGGGCTGTCCTGAACTTTGTAGGGTGGCGAGAAGTATCCCTGGCCACCCACTGGACGCCAGCAGTAGCCTCCAGCTGGGAACCACTATTCTAACTCTATCACTTCTATTAACCAATCCTCTTTACC